AGTACTGAAGTCACTCCTGAGGTCACCCTTCAGCCAAAGATTAGAAGGCCTGTAAAACAAACAGTAACACACGTAGTTCAACCACGTTCATGAGACTAAATGGGCACACCAGCCCAGGCACAAGGATGAGAAGGCAGGAGGAGACGGGAAAGCTGGATGAATGGAAATGAGGAACCCAAGGTCAAGAAGGGGGAGAGTCTTGACACATCGTGGAGTTGGCAACCAGTGTCACAGAGCAAAATGTGTATTCATTGTTTAATGAGAAGCTAATTTGTTCTGTAAACTTTCACCTAAAGCACAATAAAAAAAAGAAGAAAAAATAGAGAAGAAAGTGCAAATTAAACCCAAAGTAAGTAGAAGAAAAATAATAAACCAAACTAAACCAAATCCTGTGCCATCGAGCCGATTCCGACTCATAGCAACCCTATAGGACAGAATAGAACTGCCCCATAGGTTTCTAAGGAGCCACTGGTGGATTCCAACTGCTGACCTTATGGTCACTTGCCACCAGGGCTCCAAAATAATATACAGTAGAGTAAAAATCGCAAAGCAGGAGAGAGCATTAGAATTGATCAAACCAAAAGGACGTAATTTTCTTTTTCATCATAAGTTGTTTTCTTTGATTTTTGATGTGTGGGTGTGTGTTCCTTTGAAAATATAAAAATTAATTTTTAAAAAGCTCAAGCTTGGAGGAGGTCCTTAAATTTGGCAATAAATGTCTTTGGATTTTGAATAGTCAGTAAGTCAGATTGCAGAAGGTTAAGGGGACATTAGTAGAGAGAAAGTGGGAAGAGCAGGAATAGATTAATCAGGAAAAAATCGACAATAAAAGAAAGAGGAAAATAGGGTGACAGCTAGATTTGAAACAACCCAAGCCTGTTGCCTTCAAGTTGATTTTGGCTCATAGCGGATGCCACATCTTTCTCCCGCACAGTGGCTTGTGGGTTCGAACCACCAACCTTTTATGTTAGCAGCCGAGCACTTAACTACTGTGCCACCAGGGCTCCTGATAACTAGATAGACAGCAGAATTAAGCAAAGACACTGTTATTGATGTTGATGGCAGCGGTACTTAGTACAGGAGACTTGAAGGCAGAGAAGGAGTCAGAGAGAGACAGAATGACTGAATGAATGAAGATATTGGAGGAGGGAGGAGGACAAACTTGGGTGAGGAAACACCTTCAGCTATTAGAAACCGTTTCGAGCTTTCCTACGTCCTTGACCCCTCGTGTTTATTCAGACCGATGCCTGGGACCTGAATTATACAGGTTTCTCTCGTGAACGTTAGGTGATGGGTTGGGGAGCGTTTTTAAGGAACCATACTTACGTTATCTACATTCTGCCTTCACTGTTTGCTTTCAGTGATCTTCACTCAACGACGAAAGTAATTCTTGGCTTGTGAGAAACTTTCTGACTCTCTTAGTGAGGAAATTAAAGCAAACAAGTGATTTCTGTGCTAACCTGCTGGGGGCATCGTTCATGTTTTAAAGTAATGCTTGATTGACAAAGATTTTAATTTTAAAACAAACACGTACATGACATAATAGGTACCAGAAATCAATAGGGGGGAGAAAAAGGTGGCCATCACAGCTTTTTCTAGTGTGCTTTTTGGAAAAGAAATTTATGTGGGGTACCCAAGTGTGCTCTTCTTTGACAGTCTACAAACAAGTTAAAAGAGAAGCTTCAGCGGTTACTCAGTGCTGAAGAATCCAGCTGACATCTTTGGAAGCTAATTTGAACAGCTAGTAGATTGTGTATATGCTATGCGGGAAGGCTTCAGCTCCCTTTTGCATTTTATAATTTATGTGGTCCCAGCATGAGGTAATTTTATGACTTTGCCTTTAAATTATGTATATTAAAGTGAAATGTACTGATACAAATATAGACATGCCCTATAAAGATTTAAGACCTCTTTATTTTCCAAATCAGCCCCGTCATAAACAAATACCAGAGCTGTCCTATGCTGTAGCTATATTAGCACGTTGGATGCACATGTTATAATATCATAATAGGTTTTTTTTTATAATAAGATATTACCAAAGTGTGCATTAATACTTTGGCTGAGAAATAAGTGTACTTATTAAGAGCTTGACCAGAAACATAATTGAGTGCAAGTTCAGAACATTAACATGGGTCTGTCATTGTTGTGGGCTGTGGAGTCGCTTCTGACTCATAGCGACCCTAGAGGACAGAGTAGAACTGTCCCATAGGGTTTCCAAAGAGCAGCTGGTGGATTCGAACTGCCGACCTTTTAGCAGCTGAGCTCTTAACCCCTGCACCACCATGACTCCAACATGGGTCTAGTTCTGTGTAAAAAAAAAAAAGAAAAAGAAAAAATTCTCCAGTGGATATTTAGCCTGAGTTGTTTCTCTAGTATTAAAGGACTAGTCTGAGATACCTGTAGTCTTGCCTTTGATAAATGGTCTACACATTCCAGGTCACTTTAGCTGAGCGGTACAGTCTCCAGCTGTGAAACACGAAATCTCTTCATTGAGCTTAAGTGACCTGTTCAAGCTCAAACTTGGGAAGTTGTTAATTGGTCCCCAAATTCATAATTACCATCTACCTTCAGTCTCTTCCACATAACCTCAGCAGCAGGGACCAGGAACATATGGCAGACAGTCCCATGACGCTGTAGACCACTGAAAGAACTGAAGAGCAGCCTGAGTTAGAAACTGCACCTCCCCATCTTCAAGCGCTGTCCCCAGAGCCCAGAAGAGAAGAAGACTGTTGCGCAGGAGCGAGAAGGTGTTTCTGAGCGTCTGCTCTCCTAAGTTCTTCCTGCTCTCACAGCCTTTTTTCTTCTTAACTTCTGAACTCACAGTTACTCTTAAAGCACCACGATCTCAGTAACCCCTGCTCCCTAAGAAGTAACCAGAAATGTTACCCTTATTTTCCATCAAACATTAGTTTATATTTCTGTACGTGGGAGACCAGTAGTGTGTTAATGAAAAACATGGTTTCTGATATACCTAGATCCATATCCCAGCTTATTCTGCTTCACAGTTTTGTGACCTTAGAAAATTTTCCTTAACCTCTCTGAGCCTCAGTTTCTTCATTCATAAAAGTTATTGAAGGAATTTAGGGAGATGGTACATTTAAAGTGCTTAACACTGTACTTAGCATATGCTACCCACTTAGTTGGAGCCCTGGTGGTGCAGTGGTTAAGTGATACGGCTGCTGACCAAAAAGTCGGTAGTTCAAATCCACCAGCCGTTGCTTAGAAACCCTATGGGGCAGTTATTCTCTGTCCTTTAGGGTCACTTTGGGTCGGAATCGACTCAACGGCAGCGGGGTTTTTTTACCTACTTAATTAAAGAGGAGCTGTTATTATCATTATTAATACTTGGATTCTCCTGTTTGCCAAAGGAAAGAGTCATTTATGGCAAATATAACCTCATAGTAAAGTAATAGACTTGACATATTCATTTATTAGCAATTTTTTTATTGTAATTCTCAGACTAGCCATAGGTGCACTAAAGGATCACACAGTATGCTGACGGGAGTGTACATTGTGTACTAAAGCCTTTTGGTAGAGCAATTTGGCAGTGTATATCAGTATCCATAAAAGATGCCCTTTTTGAGTCTGTAATTCCCTTTCTGGAAATCTCCTCTAAAGAAACAGTCAGAGATTCAGACCCAGAGTTGCATCATCAGCATTGGGCTGGGGAGAAGGAAAGCCTGAATGTCCAGCAGCAGAGAATGGCTGAATAAAATGTGGTGTTTCCACAGGATTGATACACTGCAGCTAGTCAGAAATGTGACATATTTGATGATATGGGAAAGCGTTCAAAATATACTATTAAGTAAAAAAAAAGATGTAGAAGTGTTAGTGAAATACTCAAGTTTTACACACTGAGAAATACATTTCCCTCTCTCCTTTCTCTCTCCTTCCCCCCAAATTAGAGAAGAATATACTTTAAAATATCACCAGTGTTTGTCTCTGAGTGGTTGGATTTCAGTTTTGGGATTTTTTATTTGTTTGTTTTTTGCTGCAGAAGACCTCTATTTTATTCACTGTGCTTTAGGTGAAAGTTTACAGAGCAAATTAGTTTCTCCTTCGACAGTTCTTACACAAATTGTTTTGTGACATTGGTTGCAATCCCCACGATATGTCAGCGCTCCCCTCCCCCACCCCGGGTTCCCCATTTTGCTTTCTTTTTTGTACACTTCAGTATTTGTCAGATTGTATGTAATGGCCAAGTCGCCTGGCATGCCTGGTATGAGAAGCGGTGAAGGAGAGATTGAGTGCTTGGGTATCTATTGTTTATTGGTAGTGGGCTTAATTGAAAAAGCTTTAAAAACTGAAAGCTGCTTTCTCAGATGTTGCTTGTCTGCTAAACTGAAGCAGTATGGTTGGTTTGGGCCAGGGAGACGCTAAAACTTCTTTATAGCGTATGGGTTGCAGGAGGGATTGTTGGATAGCTGCTGGATGTTCCTGAGTGCATAGGTTTTAACGTAGCAGATAATAAGAGCTCAAACAGGGAAAGCAGATATTTAATATGAACGAGAGGGAGCTCTGGTGATGCAGTGCTTGGCTGCCAACTGAAAGGTTGCAGGCTCAAACCCACAAGCTGCTCCATGGGAGAAAGATGTAGCAGTCTTTCTCTGTAAAGATTGCAGTCTTGGAAACCTATGGGGCAGTTCTGTTCTGTCCTACAGGGTCTCTGTGAGTTGGAGTCCATTCAGTGGCAGTGGGTTTTTGGTGTGAAGAAGAAGCTTCTTGCAGAAACAAAACCAGGGCAAAGTTTAATTAGACTTGCAAAGAAGATTGTTAAGTAGGGGGCATGGATCACTTAAGTTTTACTTAATTTTTCCAAAATATTTGGGATGGCCAGAGGGAGACTGGTGTGCATCTCCAATGAAAGATTCATGGCGGAGTATCTTGTGACTATAGAAAAATACTTACGAATATTTGGCTTTTTCAGATAACTTGTATTTTAAAGTAATTTTAAAATACCAAGAATTGTAACAGAATTATAATTTTTTATTCCTAATTAGGATCCAGTTTATGGAAAAGGAAAACTTGGAGAAATCCAGGGACTTATACTGGGCATGTTGGATACCTTCAGCTATGAACAGGTAAGCTACTTGCTGTTTCTAAGCCTGTCCTGGGGTAGAAAGAAGGTATTTCTTTTTTCTTTATACCTGTACTTTTTCTTTAAAAGTTACCGTCTGTTTAGTGGAAATTTGTTAGATTGAGGTATGTTTTTTGTTTTTAATTTTTAAATTTCCCTAACCTTATTTTATTTATATGTATTTAGCCAAAAATGGGAATACATATGATTCTGATTCACTATCTTTTTTGATTTATTGGTAATGAGAAAAATACCTTTTTTCCCCAAATGAAAAGGTGTGAAAAACTTTTCTGGACAAAGAATTGAATGCAAAGATACAGCCCATAAAAAGGAAGGGTCGGAATGAGTCTAGAAAATTGCAAAAGAGAATTAAATGAGTGTTCTTTTAAACCTTCTGAACAGATCATTTCCACTAAGTAGAAGTGGTCCTTCATCTTCCCGACTCAGAATCGCCTGTAGCTTTCATTCTCAGCAAGTGCCCAGCTTGGTCTGCCGATTTTTTTCTTAGTGTACTTCAGAGTGAGTCATGAAGCCACCTAGGAAAAGTGCTGTTTAGACATGTTAGATACCATGGCTGGTTTTTGAGGAATCTGAGAGAAGAAAAATACAATTCTGGGTGACAGAGCTTTTCTTAGAGAGCTGGAAGATCTGCAGTCTTGCCTAAGTGACGCTTGATACGCCTGTAGGCACAGACTCCGGGTTAGTGGAAGCAAAGCTGAGTGCAAGGCAGAAAATCTTTGCCAATCTTGGAACTATAGACGAGGAGGAAAATATGAGGTTGATTGGAAAGAATTAGAACATTTAGATGTGTAGAACTAACAGCTTTGCATTGTGGGTAAAATTAAAGGACCAGGCTGTACATCAAGGAGAGTGGGCGGGCAGTACCTAGCTCAGTCAGGTACCCAGCTGGGTATTTCAATGATATACATGAATGTTGAGAATTAGGTATAGTATGAAAACAGTACTCTATAAGCACATAGAATCCCTAAAGTGACTTGCTGTGATAGCTGTGAAAATGTCTTTATGTGACTTAATGACAGATGTCACACACAATCTCGAATAGATTCAAATGACTCATAAGTGCTGATCAGTAACAGGTGATCTCTCTGCCCAAGAGTGATGAAGACTGAGTAATAGCTGTCAGCTTTTCCACTGAAACAGGTTATTTGAAACATTGCTGTGACTGCAGGTTCCATAAAAATTTGGGGATCCAGAACTTTGCTGCGTTCTTTCTTGTGAAACTTTGGGCTGTTCAGAGAGAAGGTATTATATAAATGTAATAAATCAATAGATTTGGATTTTTCTAGTAATTTGAAAACCCATATCTATTTATTTATTACATTTATCTAGTAATTTGAAAACCTAAATCTATTTATTACATTCATCTAGTAATTTGGAAACCCAAATCTTTTGATTTATTACATTTATATAATACCATCTCTCTGAATGGCTCAGTTTCATAACAAAGAACATAGCTAAGTCTGGATCCCTGATTTTTGTGGAAACTGCAGTCACGGCAATGTTTCAAATAACCTTTTCACTGGAAAAGCTAATGGCCGTTACTCAGAGAGAAGGTATTATGCAAGGAGCCCTGGTGGCACGGCGGTTAAGAGTTATGGCTGCTAACCAAAAGGCTGGTGGTTCGAATCCATCAGCTGCTCCTTAGAAACCCTATGGGGCAGTTCTCCTCTGTCCTGTAGGGTCACTATGAGTCAGAATTGACTAGACCACAACGGTTTTCAGTCTTTTAACAGATACACTCGTCATTACTCTGCACTTTAAGGTCAGCTACTTAAAATTCAGGGCTTTTTGACGTTTGCTTGTTTGATCAGTTTTATCCCCGGGTGGTGCAAATGGTTAAGCCCTCAGCTGGTAGCCAAAAGGTTGACATTTTGAACCCACCCGGGGCGCCTTGGAAGATATTCCTGGCAGCCCGCTACCGAAAGGTCACAGCCCTGAAAACACTACGGAGCAGTTCTACTCTGCACGCATAGGGTTGCCACGAGTCAGAAACAACTCCACAGCAACACCGTGTAATTTCCCTTGTTTGTAGTTGAAAACGAAGCAAGTGCCGCTCCCCACTTATTGCCTCTTTTCACTTCATAAACAGTTGTTGGTTTTCGTTTTGGTCTCTCGTAGACCCTGCTGGAAACAACAACTAACCTTCTAAACCAAGATCTCCATTGGTCGTTGTGTCATCTGAGAGCCTCGGTCACCAGAGGATTGAATCCCAAGCAGGATTACTGCTCTGTGTGTTTGCAGCAGTACAAGAGACGCCAGGAAATGGCTGATGAGATTATTGTCTTCAGGTAAGAGAGGGGAGGAGATGTTGCGTGTGTGTGCTACGTGTCCATGGATGGTTATTACTAGGCAGGAATATACTTGACACATAGTCCAGTAATGGACTGATTCAGTCAGTCATTCTCACAGTGAGCAAGACAGGCAGAGTTCCCACCCTTGTAGAGCTTACCTTCTGGATGGGGTGGAGAGGCGTGGGGGGTGGTGTGATCAGGCAGTAAATAAATAAAGAGTAGCAAGAGCTATGAAGAAAGGGAATAGTCAAGGATGACTCCACAAAGTTTTTGGCCTGAGAAACTGGAAGATTGGAGTTGGCCTGAGAAACTGGAAGATTGGAGTTGCCACTTACTGAGCTGTGGAAGATTAGAGGAGAGAATAGGGTGGGGGTGGAGTAGGGGAAATCAGAAGTTTGTTTTTGGACTGCATCCAGAGTAGAGTTCTTGAGGAGACAGATATGTGGGGTTCAGGGGGGAAGGTCTGGGCTGAAGGCATAAATTTGGTAGTCATCAGCTTCAGGTGGTATTTTAAAGCCGTGGGGCTGGATGTAATCATTAAAAGAGCTTGGGTAGCAATAGAAGAGTTCCAAAGATCGATTTCTGGGGTACGCCAGCATTTCCGGTTGAAGCAATGAGGAGGAATCAGTAAAGATGGCTGAGAGTTAGTGTCAGTGAGGAAGAAAGGAGAATGACAAGAGAATGGGGCTTTATAGTCAACTGGAGAAAGTCTTTCAAGGACAGTGTGTCAAATGCTGCTGATAGTGAAGATGAGGGCTGAGAATCGTCCATTAGATTTAATAGCAGAGTCATTGGTGATCTTGACGAGAGCGGTTTCACGGGGGTGGTGGGAATGAAAGCCTGATTAGAAAGTGTTCAGGAGACAATAGGAGACAATTTGGAGACACCAAGGATAGGCAGCATCCACCATCTTTTAAAATTCTCCACAGGCAAGAGAAACAAGGAGAGGGGAGTAGACTTGTGAGCAGAGGGACAAGGTCTGTGTTCCTGCAGCTAAATAACAGTGAGAAAGATGTAACCATGAGGAAGACTGGTGGATGTTTCAATATTAGATTCACACTCTTACCAGCTCTGAAACAAGGGGGAAGGTACCTATACCAGAAAACGTCATGTGTCTGTGTAAGGGCATTTTTAAACTTGGTTCCAGTTTTTACTGGATCTTTGATTTGTTGGATGAGTCTAACTCAGTGTGGCTCAAGAATCTACACTTTCAGAGCCTTATTCCTCCTGGAAGCTATTGGTGGTTTTCTAGGCATTTATAAACACAATTCCCAACTTCTGGGAGGCTCATATGCTAACTCAGTATAATCAATAGAGAATTTCTTCATAGGGATATTGCAAGAATTTACTGGAGTACTGAGTTTTTTGTTTTTTGTTTTTTTAATTTATTTTCTTTTTGTTGCTGTCGTTGAAAATATACACAGCAAAATATACACCAATTCAACAGTTACTGTGTGTAAATTCAGTGACATTGGTCACATTCTTTGACTTGTGCAACCTTTCTCACCCTCCTTGTCTGAGTTTTTCATCCCCCATTAACATTATCTCACTGCTTCCTAAGGTTCCTATCTAATCTTTTGAGTTGCTGTTGTCAGTTTGATCCTGTATATATCTTAAAAGAGCATAATGCTCCAGGCAAACACCTTCACTAGTTAAGCTAAACTACTGTTTGGTTTTAAGAAGACTTCAGGGGATATTTTTAGTTTAATGTTTAAAGATTATCTCAGAGCAATAGTTTCAGGGGTTCATCTAGCCTCCAGGGCTCCAGAAAATCTGGATTCCATTAGAATTTGAAATTCTGTTCTGCATTTTCCCTGTTTGGATCAGGATTCTTCTATAGAATCTTTGATCAAAATGTTCAGTAATGGTAGCCAGGCACCATCCAGTTCTTCTGGTCTCATGGCAGAGTATGTAGTTGTTTGTGAAGGCAATTAGCCATACATACATCTTTTCAGCCATTCCTGACTCTCTTTCCTCTATTGCTCCAGGTGAATAGAGACCAGTTGCTGTGCCTTGAATGGCTGCTTTAAGCTTTTAAACCCCAGGTACTACTCAGTGAGTTAGGAGATAGAACAGAAGCACCGAACACATTGTTAGGCCAGTTAACTGGGAGGTCTCATGAAACCATGGCCCTAAACCACCAACGGAACCAAATCTCATGAAGTGTTTGGTTAGTACTGACATTTTTGTAAATGCTTAATCAAATCACAGCTCCTGCCTTGAATTTGATAAGGCAGACCACCCATATTATCAAGCTACTTACTTAATCATGGTTTTCCATTATTAACTTTTTTTCAAACTGTCTGTAAGTATTTCCTAGTTAGAGAAGTGAACTGAAATTCAACTCATTACCCAGGCGGTTGGTAGTCAGAGAACTGTGATTTGTTCCTTTGTGAGTACACAAATGTGTAAGTCTGGGTTTCAAAAAAAGAGAGGACAGCATTGAGTGAATTCCCTTTCTTGTTTCTTACCCTATACAGTCGTTGGTATATTGCAGCTTATTACAAATCTTCATTGTGTATAAATACACGCTAACATAGCTCATGTTTATGGATTTTCCGATAATGGAAAGTGGAAATTGATGGTCTTCCTTTTCCAGCTGTGGCCATTTGTATCACTCATTCTGTCTGCAAAACAAAGAGTGCACCCTAGAAACGGAGGGCCAGACAAGATGGACCTGCTACAAATGCAGCTCAGGCCACAAAGGGGGACAACTAAGTGAAAATTCATCTGGAATTAAGCAGGGAAGGATAACTCCATCACAGGTAAGGCTTGTTCTGCAGCCAGATAGACGCAGTCTTCTCTCGCCACGTTTTCTTTCAGGCCTGGCCTCCTTCTCCTCAGGTCAGTGGTGTTGCTAGGCGCCATCGAGTCGCCTCCAACTCATAGTGACCTTACGTAAAACAGAACGAAACAGGACATGGTCCTGCACCATCCTCACAGACACTGCTTTGTTTGAGCCCGTTTTTGCAGCCCCTGTGTCAATCCAGGCCTTACAGGCTTCAGCAGATTCACCCAAGGGTTCCCCAGCACACAGCATGTTCTGTTCTGTCTCTGTTAGTATTTGATGAGCCTCTCTTCCCTGCCCAGCACTGAAAAACAGGGATTTGAATAAGATTCCAAAAGTATAGATTCTTGACTCAGATTGAGTGAGACTTATCTGACAAATCAAAGAGCCAGTAAGAAGGGGAACCAAGTTTAAAGAAGCTCTTTAAAGAAGACCTTTCTTGTCCTTGAGAAGCTTACCATCTAGTTGAACAGAGGATGCACACACTTGAGCCTACTTAAGAACCTTTGGCAAAGTAACAGGTCAGCAAGTCCAAAATGCTGCAGTACTAATGAGTCATTTTTATGAGTGCCGAGCTGTCGTTTTTAAGTAGGGCTGATGATGGAGAAGCTGCATACGTGTATGCTCTATACGCGTTTTCTCAGCTGGGTAACTTTCTTCAAAGAATTTGATGCAATAATGTTCATTTGAGAACATTTTACATTGCCTTTGGAATCTAACTGTTGGACTCTGTGCAATTTTTGTCCGTTTTACAGCTTTTTAGTTTTTTTTTTTTAAAAAGAGCAGGCCATGGGGCAGGGTTTGAACTCTACTGCTTAGTAGTTTTGGGGAGAGCAGAGCTTGACAACACAAAAAGCTCAGTGTGGAGAAGGAGCAGTTACCAGAGCTGTGGGTTGATCATTGTGCTGTACTCAGCTGGACTTCCTTTTCAGAATTATAACATGGCTGCTAACCAAGAGGTCAGCGGTTCAAACCCACCAGCCGCTTTGTGAGAGAAAGATGTGACAGTCTGCTCCCATAAAGATTTACAGCCTTGGAAACCCTATGAGGCTGTTTTACTCTGTCCCGTAGGGTCGCTATGAGTTGGAATTGACTCGACAGCGGTGGGTTTGGTTGGTTGGTTGGTTTTTTAATAATGTTATACAAGCTGAAATGAGAACTATTTTGGCTTTTAAAAAAATTTTTTCTAGCTGGGTTCATTGATATTCTTAAGATACTGTTAGGTGATCTAGTGGGTTAGTAACACAAGAAGGGAAGGAAAAATGACACATGCTTTAGGAATTTTCACAAGGTTTGTGTTCTTTTAGCTTTCACAGCAACTTCACGAGGGTGATATTATTTTACAGCTGAAGGAACTGTAGCTCAGGGAAGGAGGGCCAGTATTTGAACTCAGGACCATGTGACCATCATCACCCCGAGTTTCCCTCCCTGCCACCCTCAACCTATTCTCTTTTTTATCATTTTGGCTTTACTGAAACCTGGTAAAGCTGATATTTAAAATATGTCCATACCTCAGTGGCTGTGCTAGCAACGATATCTTGTGTTCTGTGAACCATTTGCATTTTCAATTGTAAGAAAATTTAAAATGAAAACAATCTATATTATGACAACTTATTAAAATTTATTTCACGAAAGTTCTACTTCGTTCTCTTTATTTCCTTGGAAAATCTGTCAGCCCTGGTTGTGGAGTTCTTACACAGAGCATCCAAACCACGTACATGGAGGGTAGCAGAGGTGAGGGCCCCAGGACTCAGCGATCAGCCACCTTCTACACCCAGAAGGTACCAAGTGCATCTGGAACTTCTCACGGCCTTCGTAATGCGATCCTTCTGTCAAATAGCCTGTTTCATCCTTTTCCGAGACTGTGATAATTGACTTTCACTTCTTCAGTTTCTGACTCCAGCTCAGCAGTATGCCACAGTTACCCTCAACACTGTACTTTCAGGGGAGAGAAAGTCTTTTGCTGCTCCCATCTCACTTCTTTTCTCACAACTGGTCAAGATATGCAGCCAGTAACTCTGATGCCTTAGTTCCTTGTCAACAGATGTGTATGGATGTGACCAGGGTTATCACCCAGGAGGCCTGCTTTTCTCTGGAATAAGAATTTTATTTTCCACAAACGGGAGAAATGACCCAAATTCCCTTCTTTCCTTACCTTCCTTCCCCGCTCAGGCTTACAGTAACTCAGTCTGAAACCTTTGGGTCAGCAGAATAGACCTTCCAAGTCTGAGTCTCTGTTTTGCTTTTGCTGTATATCACCCACAGATGAAATACATCGAAGAAACTAATTTCAACTGAAGTACTTATCATTCTGTTATTTTTTTCTCAGTAAATGCTTTTCACTTATATTTGTATGGTCAGATAGTTTAAGTTGCCTCTTTGATGACTCCTTTATTAAATTTGTAGTAGCACATAACGCTCTTCATGGCACTGGTTAGCATTAGAAGAAATTAACTTGTTATTAATTTTTAAAATAACAGTTGGTCAGTGGGCAACTTGATATAGATTCTAAAAAAGGGAATTGGAGATTTACTAGGTTTCAGTTTGAACAGTGTGATATTATTAGCAGGGCTGGGCGTTCTTGACAGCTGGTAATGCACGAACACGTTGTTATGTACCCGAAACATTCAAGTTGTTACTCCTTTTAAAACTTTGACAAACAAGAACGTTTAGCCATTTGTTAGGAAGTTTCGTAGCGCATTGCTTAAATTAACATCTTTTGAGATCTGGATAAATACAGATTTGGATATCAATAGAGAGTGAGGAACAATAGTAAAATGTCAGGGTTTTTTAGTTTTGCTTTTTCACTCCCAGGTAAATACCTGAAGAAGGAAGGGAGCTGGAAATAAACATAGCTGCACCCTCCTCTACTTATCCCAAAAGGAGAGACAGTAAATGGAAATAAGCTGATTTTGTTTCTTCATATTTGGAGTTGGTTTTATTTCTTAATTTTTAGAGTTGTCTAAGAAAATGCTTTGTGTTTTGGAGTGCATTTTTAAATAATGTTGGAGGGAAGTATTTACAACTTTCAAGTAATTACTCAGTCAGTGGCATTTATTTATGCTCACCAGTTGTGATTATCTGTAACTATTGTACATTGCTTATTTATTTTGAATTCCCACTGTAAATCGGAGATTTGGTTTACATGCTGTTTAATGAAATAGGAACACTAGTATTAATGCCTTGTCTTCATTTGTCAATTTTTAACCAAGTATTAGCTTTCCATTATGAACAGGTTAGACTCAAATATTAAATATGAGATTTCAATATTTGGTGATAGCAACACTTCTCAAAAGAATATCTTCTAAATTAAACTTACAAATTAAATGAAGATTAGTATGTCTCATGAGTTAGAATTGACTCAGCAGCAATGAGTTTTTGGTTTTTTTAATACGAATCAGAAGTGCAGAGAGGTAATAGATGATCATAATATAAATGAAATTTTTTAAAGAACTTTACCCATTTTCCAGTAAGCTTGTTACTGTACTCTAGTACTGAGTGATTTATTACTTCAGCCAGTACTTAACATATGCCTACTTTGAGCCAAACACTATTCTAGGTACTAAGTATGCATTGGTAAACAAAACAAACATAGTCCTCATCATCATGTAGCTTACCATCTAGTAAGGGAACGAGACAGTAATCAAGTAAACGAATATATCATTTCAGATTGTAATTTGAAATGCTGTGAGGTGCTGTGAGGAGAATAGAATGTCATGGGGATAATAGCATGAGGGAGGACCTACTTTAGATTGAATGGCCAGGGAATATATATCTGCAGAGATGACGTTTAAGCTAAGACCTGAAGGATAAGAAGGTAGCATCCATGTGAAGAACTAGAGAAAAATCATTCCAGGCAAGCACAAGGACCTGGGGAGGGAAATAATTTGGGTGTTTGAGGAACTGAAAGAAGATCAGTGGCTGGAACATAGTGACTAAAAAGAAATAGGGCAAGAAATAGGTTGAAGAGGGAGGTGGGGCCAGATCCTGCATAGCCTTATAGGCTCTGGTCAGGAGTTTGGGTTTTATTCTTAAAGTAATAGGAAACATAGAATGACCTAAAATGGAATATATGATCCAGTGACTGTGACTGTGCAAGACAGATAAGATAGCCACATTTGTGTTTCCAGCCCAGGCCTCACCACTTTTCCAGAGCAGGGTAACCTCAGACTCTTAAAGTTCTATAAATTTATGGCCTTCCCTTTGACCCAAAAAAGGCTTTTATGTCCGAGAGAGCTAAGGTCAACAATACTACTAAAAAGTGTTTTCAATATTTGTATAAAAGTCAAGCTTTGATGGAAATGTGTGCAAAGAATGTAAAAAAAAAAAAAAAAAAAACCCATTGTCTCATAAAATGTGAAGGGAAAAAAAAAGTTTAACAGTGATCAAAGAAATACAAGTTAAAACAACAGTATGATACAATTTTTCTACCTATTAAACTGGCAAAAAAATACATATTAAACTGGCACACATTAAAAAATATACGTGCCTATATACTGATATGGACGTGAGGAAACAGACACTCTTATGCTCTGCTAGTGGGATACACAGTTGTACAAGTCCACAATCCTTATCCAAGACCCTTTGGCCAGATATGTTCCAGAATTCAGAATTATTTGAATTTTAGAACAGTAATACAGGGGCTTCCACTCCTGGACAAGATATATTTAGAGCTTCTTGGTGAAAAAACAGCAAAATATGTAAAACAACAGTTCTCAAGATATTGGACATCAGGTAATGAAGGACAGTGACCCCTGAGAGATAAGACACAAATAATGCGAACCCTATGATTGCCCCAAATTACTACCTGGAGAAAGTTTCCAAGCCCTGGTGCAGGGAGAAGAAACCCAGGCAGAGTTCATCAGTCTCTGTGAGTTGAGGAGACAGAGCTGGGAGTCCAGGGAAGCCAATGTGGCTGAAGTTTGCAGGACAGAGTATTGGAGAGGAGAATGCTACACAGAGACTCCAGAGATCTGC